TAATATGTGTGTATACGATTCTCAGTTGTAGTGTTTGCTTGTTTTATATGTGGACTTTTTATGGAGTTGATTATTTGTGTGGTATAGACACCAAAAGTGGTAGAGACCGTGTTGAAGATAAACTTGCATTGCGAGGGTTGTGCCAAGGACGTTAGGCGTTGCATCCTGAAGATGAAAGGTACCTTTTTCTGTAGTTCTCAAATTGGATGCATCAAGTTATTAGAGTTTCAGTTTATGGCATGGCATAATATATATTAATCCTTTTATTCACGATCGATATTTACTTACACAAGGAACAAATTAGAGACTTGAAGTCCTTACCAGATTCATAGATTATTCATTTTTGTTGACAGGATAACCAAAAAGAACAATCACATACACAAAACACAGAAAAAAAGCTTTGACGAAAACTCGTGATTAGATTAGTTATGTTGTATAAATTAAAGAAAATGATTTACAGGAGTACAAACTGTGAACGTTGATATGAAGAAATCACATGTGATGGTAAAAGGCAGTTTTGATCCACAAAGTCTAATAGCATACATTAGCAAGAAGGGTGGAAGGCATGCGGAGATGGTGAATGTGAAGAACAAACAAAGCAAGAATGATGGTGAACAAAGGGAAGGTGATCAACATGAGAATTCGAAGAAAGAGAAAGAGAAAGAGAAAGAGAAAGAGAGAGAAAAAGAAAAAGAAAAAGATGGGAAGATCGCATACCCAAACGTGCCTCCAGGGCTTGTTTACGCACCACAACTATTCAGTGACGAGAATCCAAATGCTTGCTCCATCATGTAAATCATATACTTATCATATATTTTTGGCTTTACAATGGGAGTTATCAAGCATAGATATATATATATATATATATATATCTTTGTCTCTTGGAGATGGTTTCCTGTGATGGATCTCCTTTTTTATTTTCTTACCTATAAAAACTACAAACCAAATATAATTGTTTTTTTTTTTTAAGAAAATAACAAATGAAATGTAAAGTAAAGAAGCCTAATGTATTTTCCGTCCGGGGTCAACTAGCCATAATACATGATAATTCATTCACTACTGTACAAGAAGCATGAAACTATTTAACACAACAAACCAATATGTAGTATTGGAAGTGTTGGGACTAATTACAGATTTAGTCCATGTACTTACGTAACTGGTTTAGAAAGGTTAAAGTAATGGAAAAGAAATGAATAAAATTGATAAATCCAAAGCCTAAAAATAACTATGTTAATTAATTTTCCTATTTAAATTCTTTGTTTATTCAAATAACTATAAATAAAAATAGAAGGTTTTTATATGAAAAGGGAAGTGGCAGCATATACAATTACAAAAGTAGCAATATCTAATTAGTAATTATGAGGTAAAAAGAAACAAATGATTTGATAAAAAGAAAACGGAAACAAATTGTTATTAAATTAATATTTGTAACGTAAATCAATAAATGAGGGATATCCAAAAACCCATAATTTCCCATCCGCTTCTAATTTTTTAAGATCCTCAATTTCTCTTACCATATTCAAATGGAGTACATTATGTTTTTAGTACATCTAATTTAATTTGCTCAAAATTTCTATTTTCATCTATGTGGTTTTCAAATTACAATTTTCATCTTTATAGTTTATAATTTATTACCGTTTTCATCCTTATAACTTAAATCTTATTGCCTTTTATTTTGTTACTATAGTTTTATAATTCATTTATATTTTAATCTCTCAAACTTAAAATTAGTGTTTAGTCTCAAGAACGAAGATAGAAATGAATTGCAACCTATAAGATGAAAATAGCAATTTTATAACCACATGGATGAAATCCGTAATTTTTAAAAAACCACCGGGATTAAAAATGTAATTTACTCTTATCAAATGCATACGTTACCACACTAATAATCCCATAATAATGTTATTATAACTAATTAATTTTAGAAGTAAATTACATTCTCAATCCCTGTGATTTTTATGTTAACACTCTTCCTCTCTATTTTGAAATATATATGGATTACATCCTTGTGGTTTGCATGTTATAATACGTTAGGTTCCTAAATCAAACTCTATTAGATTTTTGTTATTAAATAGGTTAATCAAGAGGACATTTCGGTCATTTTAAGTATAAGAACCAAACATGTAATAAAAACTACAAGGACCAAACATGTAATTTACTCTCTCTCTCTCTCTCTCTCTCTATATATATATATATATATATATATATATAATTTATCAATTTACTTTTACAAATTTTCTTTTTATGACATTGTATTTTCATTTTTCCTTATTACAACAATATAAATATATATATATATATATATATATATATATACTATATTATAAAGCATTTGGCTAAAACTCTTAAAAACTCTTAAAACTCTTAAACCATATTTCATCCCATATCTGAATTCGTGTAACTAACTGCAGATAAACACAATCAAATACATGATAAACATCTAATTTTAAATATAAAAAATCTAAAATATAATTARGATAATCATTAAGTTCTAACAGAATACTTAATTATTATCTTTATAAAATGTTATGTTATTAAACCAAAAATAAATTATTTCATTATTAAACTTA